AGACCAATCTAACTGGCACAAAGTTTTAAACCCAGTTAAGTTGGCACAAAATGAGATTTTTAAAATTTCAATGTCTTTAATTAGATTATATTTTTCCCTATGAGATTTTTAAAATTTTATTGCCTCTAATTAGATGAGTTTTTTTCAGATAAGATTTTTAAAGTTTCATTGCCTCTAATTAGAAGAATATTTTCTTAATGAGATTTTTAAAGTTTCTTAGCCTATGTTTAAAGGAGCATTTATTAGTATCAAGACTTGTAAGACCTCCAAGCATAGTCTCTAGGTCTCCAAGCAAGATTCGTAAGTTTTTCAAGCTGAATCTATTCAAGTGTTATGATTTATAAAACCTTTGAGTATAATCTTCGTGTCATTTCAATTTAATTTTTTTAAGTTCCGAGCCTCTAATAAGAAAAACCCTTCAGTTTGATTTTTAAAGTAATCGAGTCTTTAATGAAAGAAGCATTTTATTTTGATTTTTAAAGTTATCATGCATATACTGAAAAGAGCCTTTTAATTTAATTTTTAAAGTTGTCAAACCTCTAAAGAAGGGAACCTTTCAGTTTGATTTTTAAAGTTATTAAGCCTTTACTGAGAAGAGCCTTTTAGTTCGATGTTTAAACTTGTCGAGCCTCTAATGAGGAAGCAAAAAAAAAACAAAAAACAAAAAACAAAAGAAAACAAAATAGAACAAAGATAAACAATGAAAAAAAATTTTAAAAAAAATGTTTGGATCGATGGGCCTAGATAAAATTTTTATCTATATCTTTGTCTTATTCTTGATTCTTAATAATTTGCAAAGAAGGATAGTTGTAAATACCAATTTTGTCTAGGTTAATGATATCATGTTCTATATTAATTTTGCTTTCAAACTTATATTACAATTTCCACTAGGTCGATTTAACATTGATTTTTGAGTTATGAATTATCGATAAAGACTTCAAGATTGACTTCGAAATGCAATCAAGTTAAAAAGGTTTGAAATTAAAATTAAAATTAAGTCCAAGATATTGAGCCAAAGCCCATCATAATTTGCATAAGTAATTAGGGCTTAAAATCCTAAGGCCTAAATCAGTTAGGTTTAAAAGTTGAAGGTCTATTTTTCATATTTAAAGCCCAAAGTTGTTTTTTTATAATTAATTAAATTTTAATAGTTAACAAAATAAAAAATATGAAAAATTAAAGAAAAAAATCAAAAAATAAATAAAAGTCTGTGAAACTAGCAATAGGTGACACGCAAGGCACCCCTTACAAGCTACACAACCATCAGCTAGCCACCCTACCAATTATCCTCTATCAGCTCTTAGCCTCCTCTATCCATTTATCTAGCCACCCTACTACTGCCCAACCTCTTCTAGTTATGGTAATCAATCCCTCCCTGTCAAGCAATTTTGCCAAAACCTAAAATGGGAATGCTAAAACTTCAAAAAATTGATAATAGGACTGGAATTGTTTTAAAAACCTAATGACAATGACAAAACCCTATAAAGCCATCCCTTGTAGCAGAAAATTTGACAAATTTTCCTGCCACTTGTGATACCTTGAAACCTTCCCAAACCCTGAAAATCTAGGATTTGAAATCCTAATTAGTTATAATGGTTAAACCCAAACCCAAAACCCTCATCACCACCATTAAACTACCTTCCTTTAGACTCTAAAACATAGTCCCTCAATCAAGTGGATCACCCCTCTAAAGCCCCATTATAGGTCGAACCATAACACCAAACACCAAACAGACCCTTAAACCATCGACCTTCACTACCCAAAACTAATTTAAACCGAGATCTATCCCACATCCATAGAAACCCAAAATATATATATAAAACATAAACTAGCTAGACCAACAACCCTCCAAAAGGATAAAAACAGCAAAACATAAAAATATCATCACACATCCTCTGGTGGGGAACATCAGCACAAAGAAAACAAAAAAAAAAAAGTATCAAAGCACAAAAAGGGAAGTTTCGGCTTGAAGGAGTTGTGGGTAGTTTCAGGGGTAATTTTTGTTGAGGAATAAGGTATTGGGTAGTAGAAAAACATACTAGGAGGAAGATTGGTTTGGAATGACGGTGGCCAATCTTTTGAGACTTGACAGCCACGACTCAGAAAGTTTCTGAAAAATCCAAGTTAAAAAAGGGAAAGACGATAAAAAAAAGAGTCGGTGGACACATTTTGGAAGTATTTAGCATTGTCACTAGCAGTAAACGACGGCCAACGTTGTGGCTAGTGATCAAAATATGGATTCAAAAGCAACGGTTGGATTCTATTTTTTAAGTGTAGAGAGAAAGTTTGGATTTTTTTCATGAGAAGTTGAAATGAATTTGAAAAAAAAAATGTTGGTTTTATAAGAAAATCAAGTTAGACCCGAACCAGTAAACTGAACTGGATTTGATCCACATGATTGACTTGATTGAAACCAGCTAGGTTCTGACTCGAGTCAAACCCACTTGACTAGTCCGAGCCAATTTGAACTACCCAAACTGTCATTAAACTGGCAAAAAATTGCTCCAGACTATAGAAAACAGTCTTGAACCGTGTTGAATTGGCCAAATCGACTTAATCGCTCCTTGGACTGTTGACCGACATTGACCAATCTTTTTGGGTTTTTTTATTTTTTTTATATATTTTTTTGTGTTAAGTCATTTATTTGCTTATCTATGCATATTTAATTTTAAAAATTTTTAAATATAGATGTATGTTTTTTTTAAAAAAAGCATGTTGATTTTTTTTAAAGAAAAGAAATTATTTTTAAATGGGAATTTTTTCGATAATGAGATTCTAAGGATATCTGTGTAGTGATTCCTTTGAAATCTTTAAATTAGAATATTTTTTTAAAATATCACTAGTATATTAGAATATTTATAAAAAAAAATATTTTTTCTTTCATTAAAAAATGCATAAAATGTGGGAAAAAATTAAAAAAAATGTAAGAAAAAAGGAAAAATTAATAAGCACATTTTTTAAAAAAATGAACAAATAGTTTTTTTAAGTAAATAAAATGAAACAAAACAAAATAAAATAAAGAGTACATATGTATGCATAAATATTATCTTATGCAAATCTCTGATGAGATTTTAAGAAAATCTACGTAGTGATTCTTATAAAATCTCTAAATGAGAAAATTTTTTTCAATGTTACCAATGTACTGAAACATTTTAAGATGTTTTTCAATAATAAGGTTTTAATTTATTTTTTAAATAAAATGGAATAATAATAATTTAAAAGAATAAAAAAAGAGAGAAAATTTTGTGAAAAAATGAAATAATAAAAAATCATAATAAAAAAAAAGCCAAAATTTTTATAATAAAAAGAGATTTAAGGAAATTAATTTTAAATATCAAAATTAAGATATTTTTTACAAGATTAAAAAATAACTCATAATTAATTGATATCTTTTTAAAACGGATGTTGTGGGGTTTCTAATCACATTCCTCACACTTAATTATACTCTTAAACTTAAATTATTTTCGTTGATTCAAAAATTATTTTTTAATAAATTTTGATTCATTGTGTTTTTAAAATTCGTCTAACGATTCTCAAAACTATTAACACAAATTATTGAGTTTTAAAATCTAATCAATTTAATTGTAAATTATTTTGGATTAATCTCTCATGTTGACCATTTGATGATTCGAATTAATTTGAATTTAAGTTAAACAAATTCAAATAATTAATTTTTTCAATCAAATTAAATTAGATTGAGTTTAAATTAAAAATAACTTATATTAAAAAACATCAAATTCGAATCGATTATTTTTTTTTTCAAATTCGGGTTGACTTTATCATCTGTACATTTAGCAAAATTCACTGATAGCAAGCTACATTTCCTAATGCTTGATAAAGTAATACTTAAACGAAATGTGTAACCGCGGCAAAATGTCAGCGTGATAGCATGCAATTTTGTAGCGTTCCATAAGAGAAAAGGATTTGAAACTTGCCGATGTACAGAAAAAGATTGCACAGAAATAATTTCTCCAGTGACTCGTATCAGCTTTATCTTGACCTGTCAACAATTCACGTAATATACGGATACTTTTATCAGTTTTGTATTAAATATATATAAAATATTAAAATTATTATATTATAATTCATATTTACATACATATAGAACATATTTTTTTTATTTTTATTAAATTCATATAAAATTTTTGTCAAAAATTTAAATCATATCAATTTCATATATTTTTTATATCATTTTTATAATGTATCTAAAATTATTATATCTAACTTTACCCTTTACTTCACTCATTTTATTTTCTTTGTTTACCTTTAAAATTAAGTATCTCACACCGAGAGTTATTCTATTTTTCATCTTATAAATTCTACTTAAGAGAGTAACTAAAGCTTTCGATGAATTTTTTATAAATATATTCAACTTTGTTTATATTTATTTATTAAACTTAATATATGATCTTGAATGATATATTAATATTCGTTTAATAAACGAATTAAACACGAATAAAAATACGATTCATTCATTTATATTTATGAATAAATTCATTTTAATGTTCGTGAATAAATTTAATCAATATTTATCAATATTTTATTTTTATTTCTTCTAATATGATTATTTTATAATTAAATATCTTTTAATAAAATTTTAATCATATTTTAATATTAATATATTAAAAAATACACATAACACATTAAAAATCTTTCATAATATTTTTAAAATATTATTAAAAATATAATTTTCGATGGCTTAAAATGGACGATAAACAAGTTATAGAAAATACTTTGTTTATAATTTTTCTATCCCACGTAGCCTCAAAAATCACTATGGAGAAAGAAATTCTTTATAAGTAAACATGTCCCTTTCACTCCTTGTAGCCTAACTTATTAGTTTGCAAGATCAATTTTAGTAATTAATTTATATTTATTTATGTATTTTTAAATATATTTATTTACTATTTATGAATAAGTTCATTAAATTTAAATGATTCGATTCTAAATCGAACTTAAATATTTTAATATTTAAATAAATTTTTTATTAAACACGAACAACTTTAAAAATCAACGAACATGCTATTCATATGCAATTAGTTTATAGTTTACAACCCTACATAATTCCTGCCTCTCCTTTCTTGGGAACCCGGAACTTTCACCTTGGAACCTCTTATTTTAAATGACTCAATCACAAGCATTGACCATAACAGTACCGCCAGGAAATCCTCCCAAAATTTCTGGAAAACCAGCATGGAAGAAATGTGGCTTTGCATTAAGTTCCAAGTCATACTCTTACTTTTATTCTAACAAAAACATATGCTGGAACAAAAATGTGGGGAACAATCCTTTTAGAAATTACAACCAAAAGGAATTACAAACTTTATGTATAATAACAACGTCCTCTATAATATCACATTCAGTGATGGCCGAGATGTCCTTCGTTTCGCATTATGCTCCCATATAAAGGCCAAAAATGCGACTTCTATCGCTTCAGATTGTGCACTTGGCCTCTCTTTATTACTTTCCGCAGAGCAGCTTTGGCTTCCTCTAATTTTTCAACAGCCTGCCCTTCTTCGAACGATAACCTCTGTATGTTAAACTGTAAAGATTTGAACATAATTATATAAAACTAGCATAAACCACGACACCTTGGGGTGAGAAAAAAACCAAAAAAACTAACAACCGATTCAAAACTGTAATATTTGGATCGATTTTTCTCTTATTCTGTTTGATTTAAGTTTGGCTATTTTATGTTTTAATTTGGCTCGATACAATTCAATTTTTTAAGGAAATAGGTTCGGATTCAAATCGAATTTTGAAAATTCATTATATTATACATTAACCAAAATAACCAAACCTTTATCACCCCTACCCACACCTTCCACATGTCAATTGTCATCATACGGAATAAATGATACCTGTGCACCTTGACGGACCCTAATGTCAATTCCCTTGCTGTCTATTGATATGATGGCCGCATCATCAACCTCAGCTTCTGCTGATAACAGCTCTTTGAGGGGCTTTGAAAAGGTTGCATTGAGTTCCTATAGTAAAAGCAAATTAAAATCCAAATTATCCCAAAAATGGGCATATTTACAAATTGCATTGGAGCACATGTATAAGAAATGGATTAGTAGATTGAGAACTTCGATGGGAAAGAACAAAGAACCACTTTTGGTGGCAGCAGCAGCCACACTGGCACAGTTAAGAGAAAAGAAACACAAAAAAATATAGCATAGAATACCATGCAACAGGAAAACTGAGATTTTGAGAATTTAGAAGGTTCACCTTCAGATTTTGTTCACCTCCATCAACTGCAATCTTATCGGGTTTAAGTGCCTCATATTCCTTGACATCAACCCACGCAACAGTGCCAAATCCTCCAATGAAATATACGTCACTGAAAATAAATTTTGATAAATAAACATGTCCATTGTGTGCATCGCATGACATATTATATAAGTGCAAAATATTAGAAAATATTAATATAATTACTAGTAGGAAAGAAATGAGAAAAAATGGGAAATAGTTTGTTAACTGGTTATTTTTTATCCCACCGCTAATCAGACTTCTAAATCTGAAACCATCACATTATTTTACATGGTTATATATGTTATATAGAAACCCAGAGTCCTAAGGTAGATAATACAAGACAAGGAAAATAACAATCAAAACACACACCACAACAGGATTTTCTTTGTTTCTCCATGTCCAGCCAATTTATGTTATCAAAGAGGGAATAAAGAAAAATAGAATAGAATAGAACTATATCCTTGAACAAAACACTGATTTGACATCCCTAGAGCAAGAAAATTTAGATGGCTGCATGGCAAACAGGACCAAACTGGATCATGATGCCACAAGCATACCTCACACAAAGAATTCCTTGAAAGCCAAGACTAGGAGTTATGAACAATGTTTTTAAAACTGGACTGCTCAAAGAACTGGTAATGTGACCAATTCAGGTTGAACCAGGCAGTTCAAACACCGTTTTTTTTTTTTTTATTTCTTTTTTTTCAGGTGTTTTCTTCTTTCATTTTTTTTAGTTTTGTAAGGCTTTTGAAAGTTTTTTATTTTCTTTGGTAATATAGTCAGGGGTAACTGCAAGCTTTGCTTAGAAATAATCTCCTCCTCAGGCAATCTTAAGGGTGCACTCCCCACAATCGCATCATTGCTTCTTTCAGTATCTTGCATTATTTCTAAGTCCATTAACTTTCAAAAGCTTTACAAAACTAAAAAATGAAAGAAGAAAACACTTAAAACAAAAGGAATAAATTAATGAAGAAGCATTTAAACCACCTGTTTCAACTAGAATTTGTCACCTTACCAGTTCTTTAACAGGTCCAGTTTTTAAAATGTTGATATTTTCGCTAATAGGACAACCAGAAAGATTTTTTAAGTTTTAGATGTATGGATGAGAGGTACACTTGACATTATAGATTTGTGCAAGAGTTTTCTTAGGATTTGACGGATGAAGTGGAAACAAGAATCAACTTTCCATATGGAGAAGAAAAAGAGAATCTTACCAACCCGCATGAGTGATTTAAACAGAAAACAGTCTTTTAAGGCAAACAAGGAAGAAAAAAACTAGTTGCAACTCTCTCAAGTGTCATCTCTAGTTAAACCAAAGCTTGTGGTAGTAAAACACAAACTAAATATACAAGCATGACAAGCATTGATTCTAAAAATTCAGTGAAACAACATCAAAAGCTGTTTTCTACTTACAGTAAATATTATTAAGGGAAAAAATGCAGTCATATATGAAAAACCTCTATCTCAGTTCACACGTAAACCAACAACTATTCAGCTTGACCAGGGCAAGGTAAAATCACTAGTAGCTTGGAAACTATCCTCACATTTTGTAAGCAAGGACACCAACAATAAGGCAGCAGAGGACAGCCAAACTATGGACACCACCTTCCCCCCCCCCCCAAAAAAAAAAAAAAACACATGAATTTCTAATTGGTGCTTTTGAGACATTAGCCTCTACTAAATATTATAAGATGTGCATGAATCCAAAACAGATATTAAAATTTTCCAGTCAAAACTATCACCAAGAAAAAAAGGTCATAGATAGATGCAATGCCTAAAGAATTAGCCCACAGTCTCTCTAAGCAGGAAATATTAGCTGGCATTAGAAATGAGAAAAACTATAGACCAAAGCAAACCTTATGTTCTGCATCCTGTAGTAGTAGAAATTCCCCCACTGCTGTGATTGCCCTTGTTGATGTTTTGCTATGTACTGTTTATGAGCCCATTCCTAGCATAATAACCAGCTTGTTGAGGCATAATTTAGGCAGAAATTATATAGATATGCATAATACAAATCATGGCAGACATTTAGTGGAGCCTAGAGATAAAGGATAACCTCTAAACATGCAATCAAAGAGAAGAAGGGGAAAAACAAGAGGAAAAATTATACAAATTATGTATTCTTTAAAAGGTCAGGAAATGGATTTTCCTCCAAATAGAAATCTTCTGAAAGCTAATCGACAAGGAGATTCCAAGGCAACAGAACTACAGCGATTTGTAAAGCCATAAAGACATGATCCCATCAAGGAAAAAGAAGAAGTCTCAACCTTTTTTTAGTAAGCATCCCAACCCTATATTTACTTATCCCTCTTCCCACCCCTCCCCCTCCCACCACCAAAAAGAAAGACCTAGGTGACCACCTGTTCATGTTCGGGAAGTGGGTAGACATCGCCAAATATCGTTACCCTTGCATTTGATAAGCCACTCCATCCAGGTATCTGTAAACCAAAATGTCAATAAATTCCATAAATGGAGAATAACTAAGCCAGATATTCCATCAGAGTAAAAGGATCACAAGAATTAACCTGCACGACAAGGGTGCACTTGGGGTCTGCTAATAGATTCCTTGTGTGGATGGCTAGAGGCGAAAATGAAAATATTGGATCTGCAAATTGGAAAAAAAAAAAAAAAAGAGATGCACAAAATCAGCTTCTGTTTACACAGCTGTCCAATTTTTAGGCAAAGAAAGTATGCTGCTTTTTTAAAGGATAAGCACATAGTTACAAAGGCTCTCTCACTTCAAAATAAAACGTTAACAGAAGAAAAAAAAAGTTTAAATAAATGTTCATGTAAAACATTTACGTTGGAACCAAAAGTAACCAAATAACAGAACTTCAGAAGTCAACTACTTACGACCCATTGAATCTGGCGCAAAATCTACCAAGGAGCCAAAAGGATACCCTTCTCGTCGGTGGTGCATCCGAGACATTACAGTGCATAAATGAGCAAATCTGGCCTTAAATTACAGAGGTCAATAAATTCAGGACTATTAAATTAAAATAAAACTGCAAAGGAAACACAGGGAAAGAGAATAGATAGAATCTTCTATTTCTTTTTTCCACTTTTCAAGATATGACAGTATTTAGAACTCAAATAATAGCCTTTACTTGTTCCATCAGATTACGGACTGCTAAGGCCGGTGGAGGTAACCCGTGCGCTGAAGTTGCACTCTGCACTCCACCAGATATTGGGGTTCTGAAAAGCCCAGCTCTTGTACCCCCACTTGCTCCACTTCCAGGTTGGACAGTACCAGGGGTTTCAACCTTTATAAATTTTTCTACATCCTTTTCGCCACTTTTATTGTGATTTGAATCACCCTTTAAAACATGAGAGATACTATTAATACTGAGTCAAAGTAGACACTTGATATAACCAACAAGTGCTATTGTCAACCAGGAGAGAAGAAAAAAAGAAGGGTTCCAAAGATCATGCTAGAGCTACGAACTCATAAAACATAGTCTCATCCACACCCCACACCCTTATCAAACCATTTAAAGAAAAATTTAGGCACTTTAGATTTGAAAATTTTTTAACCTCTTAAGTTTCATCTGGTTTTCCTTTGGCTATTTGCTTTTTCTTTCTCAAGAGTCGCTAAAAAAGCAAATTCATTTTTCATTAAAGGTGAGGAAACAGTTCAAATCTAACATACATTCAAACATAAAATGAAAATTAAAACCAAGCATTCTGCTATCCACAAAAAATGAATTTTTAATCATTCATACACAGTTGCATTAACCGAAAGTTAATGAGGATTCTCATGTAATCTTTTTCTTAATGTTCTCAGACAAGAATAGACAAAAAAAAAGCAAATATTACATAAATATAAGATAAGTAAATAAAAGAGAAACAGAATTAATTTAAAGTACCTTAGATACAGAGCGACTATCTTGAGAAACTAAGCCAAACCCATTATTGAGGAAAAGAGGCGGCGGCTGGTCTTCGCCTTCACCGGGAACCTCACGAGACAGAGCTCGGAGACGAAACCCATGGAAATAAGAGATTTCAGAGTTGAATTTCAGAGACCCGAGCCGTTTATTTGGCGATTTGATCAAACAAGAAGAAGGTAAGTGGGTGTTGAGAAATGGGTATGTCTCAGGTAGATTAGAGATGAACACTGAATTTGAAAGAGATTCCATAGGATAAACACAGAATTAGGATTGACAAAGAAAGGATCTTCAGTGTTTTTGTTTATAAAAAGAAAAAAAAAAACCGTTAATAGTTTATGCGGGGGAGGGTTGGCTGGGTTTTGCGCTGAAAAAGAAAACGTGAAAGAGATGTTGATTTGAGTCAGCACACAGAATCTTAGAAAGAGATTGTGTTAATTATTTTTTGAAAAATTCTATTTACACTAAAAGACAAACTCTTTACATTCTTATATTTACAATATAAATTTTTTTTTAAAGTTCTTAATTTATTCGTAAACCTCTACTATCTAATTATATACTTAATTAAAAAAATATTATGTATTTAAATTTTTTTAAATTTATAAATTTTAAATATCAACTCTAATAATATATTAACTTATTTAATAGATAATTAGTTAAAATAAAATATAATTTTTTATTTCTTCTAAATGCACTCTATCCTAATAATATCACATTTCTCTTCTTAATCTTTTTACTATCTTCTTTGTTCTTTCACTCTTAATCTAAATTTAATCTAAATTTAATCTAAATTTAATCCAAACTTAACTCTAAAATCATCAAACTAATTCCTAAATCATAAATTTTTTTAGTAAAATTTCAAGATTTTTTTTATTAATTTGATTGAAATGTACACAAATTATGGTTTTTACAAAAGTTCTTTCTTTGTGCTTCTTATAAATAAATTTTCTAGAGCCTTAAACATTGAATGAATTGTGAATAGGTGTAAAAAATTTTTTGTCAAAATCATACTTCTCAAAAATAAATTTTCAAAAACCTTAAAAGATAAATATAAATAAAGTAAAATTATAATTTATTTGAAAAATAAAATTGATATTTTATATATGAATATTTTTAAAAGAAATAAGTTGGAGTGTGCAGAAATTGAGTGGCATATTTAGAGCCACTCATTCTTTTCTAGTGTACTTTTTTTTATGATTAATTTGGTCAAAAAAAATTTTTTTTATGTTTAGTATATATTTTTAAAGTAAATAAAAAATTAAAAACAATACTTGTACTATACTTGTACGTAATTTTTGGCATAAAATATTATAAAAATATATTATGAAAAAAAATTATATTTTATTTTTTTATAATTTAAACAAAAATCACATTTTTCTTCTTAAAAATATGATTTTTATTAAAAATATAACATAGATCACATTTTTATCTTAATTTAAAATATATTAAGAGAAAATTTTATTTTTTAAACTCTATAGTTTCAACAAAAACATCTTTTAAAAATTAAAAACATGATTTTTATTGAAAATATAATATGAAAAAAATTAGATTAAAAATTTATTTGCCCTTAACAAATAAAAACAATACTTTTTGAGAAAAAAATTATGTTTTATTGCAAAAACAATCGTCTTTTTTAATACTTACTATGTTTTCTTATTTCAAAATGTCAATTAGAAAAATAGCCATCTTCTTAACTTTTATGATTATTGTCTGACATCAATGTTAATTTATTTAATTGTAAACACCTTATTTTATACAAAATTTTATAAAAATTATTTTCAAGGTCCGAAAGACTTACAAAAATTATTTTCAAGCTCTAAATGACTTATTTATGGTTCGTTGGCAGAATGTAAGGCTTTAATTGAGTTCCAGGTGAGTCCAGCTGGGTTTATATTGTTATTTGGTGTCAAGTTATTTTATTTTAAGTCTAAAAGAAGGGTATAGTCTTGAATAAAAAACTCATATCTCCCTAAGATTTTTCAAAATTTTTAATGGAATGTAAAATTTGTCCTATTTTCTACCTTAATGATAACTTTTACATCTATTTTACTATTAAAAATCAACATAATTGTATGATAAATCGAAATCCATTATGACACATAAAATTGTATTCTTAACCACACAATTTATCAAAATTATATTTCTAGTCATATGATTGGACACCTGGTAATGATCATGTGCATTTGAATTTTTATAAATTTAAATATTTGTTTTTAATTGATAAAGTTTAAAAAATACAAACATTTTTTAAATTATAAACATAGTTGAAGGATGTATAAAAATTTAATAAATCAAAAATTTTTATGTACACGATATTATTATGTCAAAAATATAGTCATATGTTATAATATATTATGAAAAAATAAATTATAATAAAAGTAATGTTTTTAAAAGAAAATTTTAATAGATTGTTTTAAAATTAGGATTCTGAAATTTTTTTATAGTTTCAGAAGCACTATGTTTTTAACATATGAAACATAGCTATAGCTAATCGTAGAAAATAATAATAAAATAAATTTTATATTTTCAATATCAACAACGTTTCTTAATATAGAAACGTAGTAATTAATAAAACATAATGTTTTTTTATATAAAAATGTAGCTATTGGTAGAGTCAATATAATATAATATTTATTTTGTTTTTAACTAGGTTTTGTATATTAAAAATGCAGTAATTGATAAAACTAAATTTTGGTTTATATTTCTCTATATCAATGACTATGTTTCTTGTTATAGAAACGTAGTTATTGGTTAACCATAATAATCGATTGTTTAGAATTGATAATGTTTTTCACATATAAAATGTAGTTAAAACCAAAGTAAATAATATATTTCTTTATATCAATAACATTTTTTGTTATAAAAACGTAATTATTAGTAAAACGTAATAATTGTTTAGTTATCACTAGTAATGATCATTTTTTTACATATAAAATGTAGTTGATAATAAAAAATAAAAAATAATAAAATAAATAAATATTTATGTGATATCAACAACGTTTTTTTATTTTAGAAACGTAGCAATTGACATATTTATTTTTGTTCTCCTATTTTAATGTTGCATAGCTATTCAGTTTTGACAAACCTAAAGCTCTATTCAAACCCTAAATCGTAGCCTTTTTTTTTTTTCACACAACATCATCTTTCAGCTTTGTAATTTCAACTTCATTCGTTTCAATTTCACTTATCTTTATCATTATTTGGCCAATCTACTCTCGATTTGTATGATCGATTTATGTTTTTGAGTTTTGTATTATTTGTTTGCGTCAGATATCTTCTTACTATATTGCTAGATCTAGGTTAGATTTTGACTTAAAAGTTATTGATCTATCATATGTATTCTTACTATTTGTTATTTGTTCGATTTGGCTTAGATTTTGATCTACTCAAATGTTTTTTTGCTAGTTGTTATTTGTTAGATGTGACTTAGATCTTGATCTACCAAACGCACATTAATAAAAATCTTTTTTGTAAGTAGTTATAGATCATTTATTAATAAAAAAAGAAAATGCAATTGGTAATAGTGCTTCTTTTGTGAATAAATCAAATGAAGAGTATGTTTCAACCGTTGTTTATTATTACTGTGACATTAGTTGCTATGAAACTTAGAAAAAGACGTAGGATCTCTTATGTTGATGAAACTCTTGAAGCTATAGATTAAATCATTAAACTTAAACAAAAATGGTCTTTGAAAGTGATATACAAAGTGTGGATAATTGTAAAATGGATAAGAGAGCTTTTGCAAAATTATATTAGTTGCTTTAAACATAAGAAAGATTAAAGATATATAAAAATATGTCAATAGAAGAAATAGTTATTAATTTTTTTTACGTCATTGCCCATCATACAAAAAAAAGGTTATATAGTGTCAAGTATTTAGATCTGAAAAGATAATTAGTAAATAATTTCATGCTGTGTGAAAATCCTTTTTGAGATTGTATTTCCTATTGTTTAAGAAACTAAAACTAATAGCGAAAAATTCAATAGATAATAGATGAAAATGGCTCAAGGTAATGCATTAATCATTATTGGCTCTAAATAAATATTAATAAATCTCAATTTTGTATAATATATGAATATATTAATAAGAGTTTTTAGGTTTAAGATTATTTAGATACCTTAGATAAAACTTACATAAGGGTGAATGTAGATTCAATTAACAGACTTAGCTACAAGTCTATGAAAAATGAAATTGTTACAAGCATTCTTAGTCTTTGCACACCAAACATGCAATTCATTTGTTCTATCGGGATAGAAAGATTCTGCAATAGATAATAGAGTGTTAAGGGATGTCGTTAAATGTAAAAATTATTTGAGAATGGCACAAGGAATTAGCTTTTATATTTTGATTTTATTTATGCCATGGAATGCATTTTAAATGTATATTAATACATTGTTACATTGGATTAGATTTTTACTATTTGAGTGATGTTGGATACATAAATAGGAAAGATTTTTTGATACCTTATAAATGTGAGAGATATCATTTGAATGATTAGAGGCCAGGATAGCAATTTACCACACCTTAGGAATATTTCAATATAAAACACTCTTAAGAAAAAATTATATTGAAAAATGTTTTCATATATTGAAAGTTAGATAAAGCGATTTTAAAGGAGAAATCATTTTGTCGAATTAAAACTTAGTATAGAATTATTTCTATTTATTACCTTTTCTAAAATTTTGTTAGGTTTGGGATGTTAATTGACCTAATTGAAGGTAATGTTGATGAAATAAATAGTAACCAAGCTGAAGGTGATAATCATTAAGATTTGATTAGACACATTAAGCCAAATAATGCTTGGATTAAGTTTAGAGATAAGTTGATAGAGAAGATGTTCACGAATTAGTTACAATCCAATGGTTAAGGATAATTTGTTTAATTTTTTTCTATTGGATTGCTAATATTTTTTGAGTGTACGATATGTTGAGTGTACTACTTGCTTTCTATATTTGTTTTATATTTGTTTTCCTATTTGTTTTATTATTGAGTATACAATGTAGTTGACTATTGTTTACAATAATATTTATTTAGTTATCATGTCTATTAGTTTTCTTCCATCTTTATATTGGTTTATCTTCATTGATTTTTGATGTGATGTGCATTTGTTAAATGATGTATAACTAAATTATCAGGATATTAATATGTTGTCATCCATTATGAATGTAAAAAGTAGAAATAAAAAAAGAAAATAAACTTTTGTCGGTAATCACACATGGACAAAGGTTGAGGATACCACATTTATCTAATGCTTACATATACTAGCAAAAGATTCTAGATAGAAAGCTGATAATGAAATATTCATAGTTAGGTATCTAGAACAATTTGAAATGATGTTAAAGGCTAAAATTTTTGAATCACAATTAAAGGCAAATCCACATATTGAGTCAAGGGTTAAATTATTAAAAAAATAATATAATGCTATTTGTGATATGATAGCCGCCACAAGTAAATTTT